CCCGTTTACATAAAAATTCGAGGCTTCAAGAAGAAAAACACGCGCAATAAAAATGGCAAAAAAAAAAGGTTGTTAGCTCATGCTCCACACCTCCTACAGGGACCACAATAATTGTATTTCTATCGGTGATCCCAAGGCTTTTATGCAGCATCGTCCCTCGCCGTTGAGCTCAAGACGAGGTGGCAGCGCCGCGTGCGGCCGTTGGCCTTCCGTCCCCACCACCACCCACGCGGGGAAAAGCGAATTGGGTGGGGTGAGCCTGGGAAGCTTAACTTCTGCATGCAGATGCGTCTCGCAACCAATTGAAGGAAATACAAATACAGTTTCCTTTTTTTTTCCGCCAGGGCTGTTCTTAGCAGAAGTCCACAAAATGCAACCAGTACTCCCGCAGTTCTCCAAAAGAAAGTAAAAAAGAAATTTTTTTTGTTTGGGTGATTTTATTGCGCTTTCCCTCCATTTGCGGCGTCTCCTTTTTGCATCCTTCCCTTGATGCGCCGAATGCGCTTCTTCACGAAGTGTGTTATAACGCGCTTGTACTTCATTTTGCCTTGAACCAGCGTCCAGTAGCGGTGGTGCAGCCAGTAGCCTGCGGCGATCGATGAGACGACGAGAACGAGGTAAACAATCAGCGTGGTCCGCATGCAGTCCCGCCCCAAGCAAACGCCGTGAGTGTCGATAGGAACACCGGGGGGGAGCACAAGTTTGTGGTGGTCGTACACGTGGAAAAAGAGCACGCGGTAGAGCAGCACAATGCCGAGGGAGGCACCGAACCAGCAAAACCCGTAGTGCATCCCGATGTCATGCCGGAAGATGATACCAAGAAGATATATAGTCAGTGAGGTGCTGAAACCGTAGGCGGTGCCGGTCAATAAGTACACCACGATGAGGGAGTAATTGCCAGGAAAGGACAGGTAGAAAATTAGCGCCAGCGCCAGCACCGCGCTTGGAAGAGGAAGTGCAATGGTGGCGGGAAGCATGACACCGCGCTTTTTTCCAAGGTAAAGCAGAAACATCTCAAACGGTCCCATGGAGACACGACCAAACGCTGTGGAGATGCCCGCCATGGTGGCTAAGAGAACATAGGTTTTGTAGTCCAGACCTGTATAGATGGTGCCCACCATGACCCGGATGTTCCAATTCGCCGTCAGGGTCATACCCACACCCCATACGACGAACACGGTGTACCACAGGAGCCACAGGTCCACGTAGGTCAAGCTCTGCAAAAAGGTTGTTTCATAAACAGGGGGGACAAACACTTCACCACACACGGTGATAGTCTCAACGTAGGGTCGGTTGTATGTCGAGACTTCACGCGTGACGACATCCATCTCAGCGGCCTCGTGGTCGTCGTCCCCATGCCGCGAGGGAGCACCGGAAGGGATGATGTTCGAGAGTATAGAGGCGTTATTCAGCCAATGCTGCGTGAGCTGTGGCGCATTTTCGCTGCTCTCCTCCAGTGGAACTAAACCCTCGGCTTCAACGAGGTTTGCTTCGGGCTCCACAGGACGGTAGTTGCGACTCTGTGTGTCGCTTTCCTCGTCAGCGTTCTTTCGGCTGCTCTTGTGATGCGAAGAGCCGCCATACGGCAGTGCAGACTCGCTTGCATGCAATGACGCCTGCCCCAACGCATTATCAGACGGAGTTTCTATCTCAATCGCCTCGCTCTCTACATCCTGGTCTTCCGCCTGCTGCCGTGTCTGCGCCTCGTCTTCTTCGGCGCTTTCGCGTGCAGCACCTCTGCCCTCATTCAAGTCTCTCATACGCAGCCCTTGCTTTTCTGCCAACTCACGTTCCTTTTCTCTCGCCTTCTGGATAACAGCATGATCCTGCTCCGTATGGCCGTCAATCGCGCGGATCGGCACCACCATGAAGAGAACACAGAGCACAATGAGAATGGCGCCAATAGCTAAGCCCCTGTACTGTCCCACTGTCATTGTGTCGCGGTAATACGCCGCGCAAATAGCTTGTATAGAAAGATACACATTCAGAACCAGCAACACAATAGCCAAGACGGCAAAACGACGCTTTGGCATAAGCTGCGACATATAGCGATTCCGAATAAGGTATCGCCGTAGCCGCTCCTTCAGCGTGATCCGAGAATTTTCCCATCGGTTAATCCTGTACGGGGCATCGCTGATGAAGATGGTTCCAATCACGCCAAAGAAAAACACCAGCGCCGCGAGAAAGTACATCAGGTGGTCAAAGTGGTTGTCGAAAAACCCACGGAAGAGGCAGGAAATCAAGCTGGCCCCCAGTCCGGAAAAGGTTTTCAGCAACCCCGCCGGCTGAGCTCGGTCACGGGGGGCGTACGTCAACACGGCGGGCAAGGTCGCCACGTCGAAGGCGTAGCAACCCCAGTTCATCAGGGCAAAGTAAATGCAAAAGCGTAGCACCGAGGCCTCAATGTGGCCGGCAAACGTCAGCCCGAAGAGAAGGTGGCCCAACGCCGTTATGATCGTTGCGACCCCGATGACAAGCTTCGGTCCAAAGTAGTCGTACAAGACCCCAAACGGAAAGACAAACAAGCCAAAGGCCGTGCCTGCCGCATAAATGTTCACCATAGTGCGCACGTCATACGCGTAAACTTTCTCCATGTAAAGGGCGAAAAGTGCGTGAAGTCCCTGCGTGGAGGAGTTGATAAAAAGAAGCATCCCAACAAAAATCAATCGGAAACGCATAAAATCGTCTATTTTATGTGGGTCAATAAGAATAATGGGGGCCTCGGCGTTAAGCATGTCGTCGGCACCGTCCAGTTGCCTGTCAGCGGCGGCCTCGCTCGCCTGGCGGCCAAGGGATGGAGCCTCGAACGGCGAGGCAGTTTCGTGCGGCGTGGTGAACAACACTCGCGAGTGAAGTCGCCGAGTGATAGGTGACCCCGGCATAGATATATCTATTTTGTTACCTCCGTGATATAATACCGCTAAAGTACAATTGTACCAAGCCTTCCTTCCAACGCGCTCCGTATGTTCCGTATTTTTCTGTACAAACTTTTTTTTTGCTTTCGATTTTCTACAGTTTTTGAGGCACTTATCTCGCACTTCAGGTGCTATTGATTGTTTGGTTGTTTGTAATTGTGAGTATATATATTTTTTCTTTTTTTCTGGTGCTTCGCCTTCGCTTTTTTTTTCTCTTTCTGTGTTTTTTTTTCTAACGAGTGCTTTCCGCGCGCGCTCCCTCACCTGCGGCGTGTGACCGGGGGCAAAGACTGAGGGGAGCAAAAGACGCAGGGTGACGGCCACTGCCGCGG